TACTCCAATCAATTGTAACCTCAAAGAAAATAAAATAAAGAATAATAGTGCAATACAGTAGATAGAGTTATTTAGTCTACACAATAATTGCTATGTACAGTCCACTCACATTTGAATGAGCTATAACAGAGCTCTACTGTAAAGCGCCTGGACGGTACAATCCCCGTCTTAGGATTCATAGTAGTTGCCACGGATGTTTCTCAAGGTGCAGTGTGCAAAAATATAAGAAGAGATAGCAGCAATATGGTGAAGTAAGTACTAATAGTGTATTCAATAATAAAAGGTATTGTACTTACACTTTCTAGAGCATATGACTTGCTCTAGTATAAAACAGCTCAGGTGGTATAATCCCCACCAAGGATATACAGGATCCAGGAAATAAAATAGTATATATAAAAAGTAACTTAAAAAAGTATACTTTAATATAAAATTAAAACAATAAGGATAAAGGAATATAATAAAATGTCCCACTTAACGCGTTTCACCTAAACAGGCTTCTTCAGAAGTAAAGAGTCCAAAAAGTCAATTTTTATATCCTGAGTAATGGGGTGATGGTTTCCTGGTGTGTTACTTCCTGGTTCCGGGCTCCGGTTGACACGCAAGTGTCATACCGGAAGTGACGTGTCGCTCGCATCGATCGAGCAAATATTTGCAGCATCAAAAAAAGAAAAAGAATATTATAACAATGTTATGATATGGCGCATTGGAGCGCACATATCACCAATAGGTGGTGTGCGTGACATTCCGAGCGCTACCCGTTTTGAAGCCTCATGATGTGAGGTGTGGGCATATGGTGCTGTATAAATAGCTTGGCGGCCATCTTAAATATGGGCAGCCATAGAGTAAAACAGACATTGAGATATAACCCACATATAACAAGTGCAAAAAAGGGCTATATTTCTATAAGTAATATACCAATATTATATGGATAGTATAATAAGAAGTAAAAACAAGTAGTAAATAGTATTAAGCAAAAAAGGCAGTACTATTATAGGTGTATAATATAAAAATAAATAATGAATACCAATATAAAATGATAATAAAATGTTAGAAAAAATAGTGTCAACATAAAAACATATCTATTATATAAAATTAGTTAAGACTTATACATAAAATAAGTACAATCTTTGGGCGTAGATATAAGGCATAAAAGACATAGAAAATGTAAAAAACATAGAGGAACATGCTGTACAAATATCTTAAGATCTGTTATAAAAAAGATACTGCAAACGAAAAAAAAAAAAAATTAATAAAAAATTATATAGATCGAATTCAGCATTTAACCCCTTAGGGTGTAGGGTATCTAACTGGTATACCCATTGCATTTCAGTTTGACCGATCTTTTTTATAGCATCTCCTCCTCTCCGGTGATTCTTGACTATTTTTATCCCAATAAATGTGAGCTGTTTAGGGTCATTATTATGCATGCAAAAGTGCGATGGTATTGAGTGATTGTGCAGACCTTTTTCAATGTTCCTGCAATGTTCTGCAATTCTGATTTTTAATGGCCTGATTGTTCTACCTACGTATTGGAGGCCACATGGACACTCCAATAAATAGATTACATTTTTACTGTTGCATGAAATGACCTCTTTTATATTATAAACTTTATTCGTAATATTTGATTTAAAGTTAGTAATAGTTCTTTCGGTGGTTTTTGTTTTCTTACATGCCACGCAGCTATTACATTTAAAAAAACCTTTTTTGTCCATAAAGTTATTGATTCTATTAGGGCTATTTTTTGTAAAGTTTTTTGTTAAATGCATTTTGAGATTAGGCATAGTTTTAACGGCAGATTTTAGTAGTACTATGGTGACTTATTTGGATTTAAATATATACATTGAGAACAATAAAATACAAACAAAAACACATTTTAAAGACGTGAATGTGAATAATTATATAAGTACTGACAGCTGCCACAATAAAGTTTGGCTTGAGAGTATACCTAAAAGCCAAATGATGCGTCTAAAAAGAAACTGCTCAGATAAATCTGTGTTTTTAAAACAAGCAGACATTTTAAAAAAAAGCTTTATACAAAAAGGTTACAATGCTAAACACATTGACTCAACTATTAATCAAACAGTTTTAAAAAACAGAAACTACCTCTTACATAAGGCTAAAACTCCAGTAACTCAGAACAATCCTGACTTTATTTTACCAATCTTCCTTGATTATAATAATAAAAATAGACAACTGAAAAAAAATTTAACTAAACATTGGCACTTATGAAGGAAGATGAAATTTTAGGCAAACTAATTCCTGATAAACCTAAAGTTATATTTAGAGGAGCACCTAATCTTTCTTTTGTAAGAGAAAATTCTAATTCTTTTAACAATTCTGGTAAGTTGTCAAAGACAATTAGTGGTTCATTTGTGTTCATTTCATCTAATTCATTAAAGACATCATTGATGTTAATAGTATAATTGTCCCTATATTCAAATAGAGACATCTTTAAATAATTTATAGGGCTGCCTATCGAGGGAATATGTGATGATGGAAAAAAATTCACTCACAGGATTGGGGAATTCCTGTTCTGTATACTGCTGCCTGACCATTATAGTGAGCGCCTACCACTCTCTCTTTTTTTCCATCATCACATATTCCCTAGATAGGCAGCCCTATAAATTATTTAAAGATGTCTCTATTTGAATATAGGGACAATTATACTATTAACATCAATGATGTCTTTAATGAATTAGATGAAATGAACACAAATGAACCACTAATTGTCTTTGACAACTTACCAGAATTGTTAAAAGAATTAGAATTTTCTCTTACAAAAGAAATGAAACTAAGGTGGGAGATCGCAACCCTGACTAAATATATAGAAGAAAAAATAACCCCTAGAGGGCTCAGGCTGTTTAAGATGCCCACCTCAGATACTGATAACAAAATATTCATGGAAGAATGGTACAACCATTTAGAGTATTGTACATTTGGATTAATGAAAAGTCTCATTAAAGTTAAAAATGAAAAGCTATCTGCAATAGATAAAAAAATAAACATACTACGAGAACAATTAATCCCTTTTGGTGACACTGAGGAGTACTACAATGTATCACAAAAAATAAAAAAAACGGTAGAAAAAATTGAAACTGACACAAAAAAGATAAAGATTCAAAAATATAATCGAGATAAATATGATTATGCACAAAACCAAGTTCGCACGTACAATATTAAAAAACCCAACACTCAAAATCGTTGGAGAAATGGAATAACACATCACAATGCGAATACACAAGGAAGTCACCAAGTTAGACCTAAAAGGTTACAAAGTAAAGAATTCTATCAAAAAAAATACTTTCACAATAATCGACAGAGATCACCAGACAAATCCCCTAGGTACAATATAAGAAATGATAGATATAACACAAGAAATGATAGATTTAACACTAGACACTATCGAGACACTTATCCCCAATATAAACCTTTAAATACACACTATTCAGAAAAAATTGAAGAACACATTAAACAGAAAAAGTCTACACACCATAGTGCACAAGAATCACCCCTTGTTGTGAGACCTAAAACTCACAAATACACATTCATACCAAACTCTCCCAAACAGAGAAACAGAAAGTACTCCTGGGAAAATCCAAAGAAAACCTATAAAAGACGAGACGATAATAAACCTTCATCACCACAAGATCTAACCAAAAATAATAAATATCATGTTCTATCCTTCTGTGATCAATTTGACGAAACATCTTTTTTAGAGATCCCCTCCAACAGAGAAAGACAAACTCACCACCTCAATATTACACCTATAAAAAGTCGCAAGAGAGGATTAGAGGGAGGAGATCTGGTAGAAGACAACAAAAAAGGAAGGCTAGAAAGCTTTTAGAATATAAAGCAGATGAAACATCTACTGGCATTTTCAATCTATCTAATAAAATTCTAAACACCACAGAGACAAATATTTTAAAACGAGGTTTAAAATTTGCTCCTACAAAACTATACAATTCCTTTTTAGCCTATATAGATGTAAACAAATTCGTTAGAAACGCTACTTTAAAACGTTTTTTTGTTAATAAAAACTATTCTAACCAAAATATCAACACTGGAAACACAAATACTAAAGAATATAAAAGCAGTGAATTGAAAAATAAATCTACTTTTTATCCTGCATATCTCAAATCTAGTGCATTAGATATATTTGAAAAGAAAGTATGCAAGGATTTAAAAATTTTAGACACTAAAAAGATAAGAGATAGACCAAATATGAATAAAAAAGAAATGAATATACTGAAAAATTTATATAACGACACCTCAATAGTAATAAAACCAGCCGATATAGGCGGAGGCCTCGTTATCCAATCTAAAGAAAAATATGAAGCAGAAGCTTATAGACAGCTTAATGATCACAATACTTATATGAAACTGAATAAAGACCCAATAAAAGACATAAAATCCGAATTTTATAATTTTTTAAAAAAGGGCAAAGATATTGGTATTTTAAGTGAAAAGGAGTATAATTATATAAAAATACAATTCCCAAAGGTGCCAGTGATATACTTTCTTCCAAAAATCCATAAAAATCTAAATGACCCGCCGGGACGCCCTATTGTTTCAGGGATAGGATCCCTTCTCTCAAATCTATCTGAATATATCGATATAATGTTACAACCGTATGTCAGACAAACAAAATCATATTTGAAAGACACAATAGATCTTCTAAAAAAATTGGAAAATATTATTTGGAAAAATGCTTATATACTTATCACATGTGACGTACAATCATTATATACGATTATTCAGCATGACAAAGGATGCAAAGCAATTAGATCCATTTTGGAACAAGATAATTCTATGCTTCAAGAGCAAACAGACTTTATTATTGAAGGTATAGACTTAATCTTGAAGCATAACTATTTCTGGTTTAAAGATAGTTTTTACCTACAGAAAACTGGCACAGCTATGGGTACTAGGTTTGCACCCAGTTATGCCAACCTCTATATGGCAGAATGGGAAGATCGGTCCATTTGGAGGGGGCGTGACTGGGTGGAAAGCCTGGTATCCTATTCTCGATATATCGATGATCTGCTGTTCATTTGGAAGGGGTCTGTCAGTTCAGCTAAGGATTTTATTTCTTTTATAAATTGTAATGAAGAAGGCATAGTTTTAACGGCAGATTTTAGTAGTACTATGGTGACTTATTTGGATTTAAATATATACATTGAGAACAATAAAATACAAACAAAAACACATTTTAAAGACGTGAATGTGAATAATTATATAAGTACTGACAGCTGCCACAATAAAGTTTGGCTTGAGAGTATACCTAAAAGCCAAATGATGCGTCTAAAAAGAAACTGCTCAGATAAATCTGTGTTTTTAAAACAAGCAGACATTTTAAAAAAAAGCTTTATACAAAAAGGTTACAATGCTAAACACTTTGACTCAACTATTAATCAAACAGTTTTAAAAAACAGAAACTACCTCTTACATAAGGCTAAAACTCCAGTAACTCAGAACAATCCTGACTTTATTTTACCAATCGTCCTTGATTATAATAATAAAAATAGACAACTGAAAAAAAATTTTACTAAACATTGGCACTTATGAAGGAAGATGAAATTTTAGGCAAACTAATTCCTGATAAACCTAAAGTTATATTTAGAGGAGCACCTAATCTCAAAATGCATTTAACAAAAAACTTTACAAAAAATAGCCCTAATAGAATCAATAACTTTATGGACAAAAAAGGTTTTTTTAAATGTAATAGCTGCGTGGCATGTAAGAAAACAAAAACCACCGAAAGAACTATTACTAACTTTAAATCAAATATTACGAATAAAGTTTATAATATAAAAGAGGTCATTTCATGCAACAGTAAAAATGTAATCTATTTATTGGAGTGTCCATGTGGCTTCCAATACGTAGGTAGAACAATCAGGCCATTAAAAATCAGAATTGCAGAACATTGCAGGAACATTGAAAAAGGTCTGCACAATCACTCAATACCATCGCACTTTTGCATGCATAATAATGACCCTAAACAGCTCACATTTATTGGGATAAAAATAGTCAAGAATCACTGGAGAGGAGGAGATGCTATAAAAAAGATCGGTCAAACTGAAATGCAATGGGTATACCAGTTAGATACCCTACACCCTAAGGGGTTAAATGCTGAATTAGATCTATATAATTTTTAATTAATTTTTTTTTTTTTTTTCGTTTGCAGTATCTTTTTTATAACAGATCTTAAGATATTTGTACAGCATGTTCCTCTATGTTTTTTACATTTTCTATGTCTTTTATGCCTTATATCTACGCCCAAAGATTGTACTTATTTTATGTATAAGTCTTAACTAATTTTATATAATAGATATGTTTTTATGTTGACACTATTTTTTCTAACATTTTATTATCATTTTATATTGGTATTCATTATTTATTTTTATATTATACACCTATAATAGTACTGCCTTTTTTGCTTAATACTATTTACTACTTGTTTTTACTTCTTATTATACTATCCATATAATATTGGTATATTACTTATAGAAATATAGCCCTTTTTTGCACTTGTTATATGTGGGTTATATCTCAATGTCTGTTTTACTCTATGGCTGCCCATATTTAAGATGGCCGCCAAGCTATTTATACAGCACCATATGCCCACACCTCACATCATGAGGCTTCAAAACGGGTAGCGCTCGGAATGTCACGCACACCACCTATTGGTGATATGTGCGTTCCAATGCGCCATATCATAACATTGTTATAATATTCTTTTTCTTTTTTTTGATGCTGCAAATATTTGCTCGATCGATGCGAGCGACACGTCATTTCCGGGATGACGCGAGTGTCGCGTCACTTCCGGTATGACGCGTGCGTGTCAACCGGAGCCCGGAACCAGGAAGTAACACACCAGGAAACCATCACCCCATTACTCAGGATATAAAAATGGACTTTTTGGACTCTTTACCACACTTCTGAAGAAGCCTGTTTAGGTGAAACGCGTTAAGTGGGACATTTTATTATATTCCTTTATCCTTATTGTTTTAATTTTATATTAAAGTATACTTTTTTAAGTTACTTTTTATATATACTATTTTATTTCCTGGATCCTGTATATCCTTGGTGGGGATTATACCACCTGAGCTGTTTTATACTAGAGCAAGTCATATGCTCTAGAAAGTGTAAGTACAATACCTTTTATTATTGAATACACTATTAGTACTTACTTCACCATATTGCTGCTATCTCTTCTTATATTTTTGCACACTGCACCTTGAGAAACATCCGTGGCAACTACTACGAATCCTAAGACGGGGATTGTACCGTCCAGGCGCTTTACAGTAGAGCTCTGTTATAGCTCATTCAAATGTGAGTGGACTGTACATAGCAATTATTGTGTAGACTAAATAACTCTATCTACTGTATTGCACTATTATTCTTTATTTTATTTTCTTTGAGGTTACAATTGATTGGAGTACACAAGAATATATGTATGTATTTTTCTGTGTAAAATACTACTAGGCGCGGTATACGCCTTCTTTTTTTTTCTTTACTATTCACTCACAGGATTGGGGAATTCCTGTTCTGTATACTGCTGCCTGACCATTATAGTGAGCGCCTACCACTCTCTCTTTTTTTCCATATAAAGATGATAAATGATAATAAATATTACAATAGTATTTTAAAATGCATGGTCTATTTCATACTACATAGTATAATAATCTTATTACGGGTAAGAAGGATAATACTCAGGAATAGCATGGAATTGGAATAGAAACTTGAAATAAAATTAGAACAATGAATAAATTAAAGAATATGAATTAAAAATATGAATATGAATGCATAAAAAATATGAATACATAAATATATATATAAATGCATAAAAGTATAGTGAATGCATAAAAATAACTCAAAGTATAAAATATACTATCCGGATCAAAGCACACAAATCTGTATAGACATTATAAAAAAGCGAATCCGAATAAAAATAAAATTAAAAATAAATAAATTAAGATAAAATGAAATAAAATGGAATCCTATAGTGCAATTTGGATATAAAAACAAGCGGAACACAGAAGAGTGTCAAGCTCTTGAGAAAGTCGATCAGGACGAAACGCGTTGAGCGGTAGCTGTTCCCAAAAGAGTGATTTAGCCCTCACCTCTACAACAGAACGTTATATAGACTTTCCTATAAATTGGACATCTGGAAATCTGAGGAGGTGGAACTGTTGTAACCGAGAGGTAGCAAAGGCTGCACCAGGGAACTTAGCCCTTTGAGTGGCTTACAAGCTTCCAATTTAGGAATATTTCTAATTGTGCCATTTCTTGTGTGAGTGTGACTTTAACTTTTTTATTATATTTTTGTTGTTAATAAATTACTATACTATGATATTTTTATTTCTCTTTTTCTCCCATTTACATGCATGTATCAACTGACTGGTAAATATTGTTACACCTGTGTGATTGTGGTGCCCTATTTTGTATATAGATCCTGTGTAACTAACCCTAAGCAACACATCACTTTGGACAGCTAAACAAATATTTTATTACATTGTCTCTTTAATGGGTTATCACCCAGAAAATGATCTTTTCAGGTTTTACTTGCTAAATGTAATTTTTAGGTCATTTGAGGTCAGCTGGAGTTTTTTTTAGCTTTCAATTTGACTATTTTATTCAAACAGAATTTTATCTTGACACAATTTATTCAAGTCAATGTAACTCAGCTCACGGCTCGTTTCCAGGAAATGAAGCTGTTAATAGCTGTTAATCTTTAACACACAAAATGACATTGTGCCTCCATAATTTCACATATGTATATGTTATGTCTTGAGTTTAGCTGTATGCTATCCACATTTATATCCACTGATTCGTTACACCACTCTGTGTGTATCATTTGCAGCTTGTATATTTGTGAGGAATAACATTTCTTTGTATTGTGAAACAGACTCTGGCCTTTGCATTAACAAATCATTTTACTGACATACAGTCTGTACCATACTGAGATGTGCTGATCTTTCAGGCTAATTCAGTAAACTCCAAATTTTACTGAATTAAAATAAAAAAAATTAAAAAAAACGAGGCAAAAAACTGCTGATCTGGAAAAATTCTACAATTCCGCTATAGTCACGGCTTAGCTATTTCAAAGGAAAACTCCGATCACCATAACAACTACATCTAAATTAAACTGTTTTTGTGCCAGGATACCACCTGGCGCACTCTTACCTTATGGGTTAAACTGTTCTCGGTTTAACTCCAAAGGTTGCCACCAACACCTATTTCAAAGGTACATGCTTTTTTTATGAATGGGGAGCTACTGATTTGTTTAGAGTGTCAGATGACCGCCATGACGGGGGCACTCTGCGCGTCAGAAACTGGATGCTGCCTTGGGGACCTTGAGATCGGCGCTGGAGGCAATCTTTGGATTTAAACCATTCGAGAATGGTGTAACACCTTAAGGTAAAAGTGCACCCGGGAGCCTCCTGGCACCATAACAACTTAATTTGGAGCTTCACCATCATTTCACCTAAAAAAAAAACATTAACCTGGCTATTCACTATAGTGAGAACTGCTGGGAATTCACAGTGAATTTCAAAATTTAGATCAAAATAGTTCAATTAGCAAACTTCTCCAAGTCAATTCTGTTTTCAGTTTGCTTAATTTAGTCTTCAACTTGAACTTTACTTTAAATTCTATTTGAATTCCATGTAATGCTTCCTTAGTGAATAATTCTGTAAATGCATTTTTTTTTTTTTTTACTAACAACGTTACAAAAAATCAGTATCGATGATCTGAGCCAGTGGAGCAGTGGTTGCGCAACCTGACTGGTGCTGGGGTAAAAAAGGTAATTATAAAAGCTTTATTTAACTATTTAATCTATGTCTCCCCTAAATCACTCTCTCGTTATCAATGTTTGGATTCCTAACAGTCAAATGTTCCTTTAAACATTGTCGGGGACAAAATTTTTTATTTTTTATTTTTATTTTTTCACATTTATATTTTTTTACATTTTTTTTTTCCACTCTCCGCTCTCTCTTCCACCTCCACTAGCAGGCCACCAATGCATTGCAGTCCACTGTGTGCAGAGAAGGCTCCATGTACAAACTGAGCCCACCCTGCTAATTATATCACATTGCCACTCGACAAAGATTGAGCATATGGGCACCAACCTCTGTAAGCTTGTATCACAATGCCTAAACCCCACTCGGGGCAAGCAATGGGGAGGGCGGGATTCATGGGATTTGACCTACATGACAGTTCTGGAGGGGGAGGGAGACTGAAATACAATGTTGCACGTAGGGACTACAGATGCCAGCTCCCCTGCCCAACACCTGTAGAGCTGTAAGGGGGAGATTAGTGAGTCCCAAGGCTTACACTGTGCTGCTACCCCATGCTGCAGCCCCACCTGATAACCCTCCAACCATTGGACGGGGACCCACCACAACTGATGGACACCGCATGAAATCACCCTGACTAGAGTCGCGCAACACATGACCTCAGAAGACGGGCACCACACAGAACACAGAACTCACCAGGAGGACCGCAAAGAAAAGAAAAGGGCCCACACCTTGCCCCACCTACCTGGCCCTGGCTCCCCCAGACTCCCCTGGCCGCTGACACGACGGGACCCCTCTGGACCTTGTATCCCCCCCACACTCCCATTTCTGCCTAGACCGGCTGGCGCCCACCCTCTCGCTCTATTCAATCAATGTGAAAAGGCTCAATTCCCCACAGAAACGGGCGAGAGCCCTGCGGGAGCTGAGAGCACTACACATCTCAATCGCCTTTTTCCAAGAAACACACTTCAAGACGCGCAACCATCCGCAATTCTCCTCCAAATACTACCCACTGGGCTTTCATGCCACGAACCTAGAGTCGGAAACCAAAGGAACATCAATCCTCTTTTCCTCCGACACCCCATTCAGGAAGGAAGCAGAGATAGCAGACCCAGAGGGAAGATACCTCTTCCTGAAGGGCACCATACACCACACCCGCTTCACACTCGCGAACGTGTACCTACCCAACAAAGGCCAGAAACCTTTCCTCAACAAAATTCTAGCAGCCCTTGAACCCTTCAGCAAAGGCATCCTGATACTTGGAGGGGACCTTAATGCCCCCTTGGACCCGAGACTGGACACTTCTACGGGCACGTCAAACCTCCCGGACCACGTCCTCCAAGGCATGAGGGAGAACTACTCATACTACTCCCCGGCCCACAAATCCTACTCTAGTATAGATTACATT